AGTCCATTATCATCGTGGTGGGAAGCATGGCAGCGTGCAGGCAGACATGGTGCTGGAGAGGTAGCTGAGAGTTATATATCCTGATCAGTAGGCAGCAGGAAGAAGAAAGTGACACTGGGCCTGACTTGAGCATCTGAAACCTCAAAACCCATACCCAGTCACATATCCTGCAACAAGGCCATATCTACTCCAGCAAGGACACTTCCTAATAGTGCCATTCCTTATGAGCCTAAAGGGGCCATTTTCATACAAACCACCATAGCCACTAACACACATCTAGAGGTATTGTGCCATGCACACCACTGACTTAGTTCATAAACATTATTGCTAAGTAAGACTGTTGGTGCCTCTCCCTCCTTTGGAAGTTTACATGATGCCTTCTGGTACCAGGAAAACTAGTCTCAGGGAGTTCCATTCAGCAGGTCTGGCTCAGGGATCTCTAGGCCCTGTCTCTAAGTGCATGAGGTCTTTGGCAATGGGGACTCACCTTCTACCTTGTTTAGAGTAACCAATGACTATGGCAATAGATTGTATTTTTTGAAAGTCTCTTCGTGAGGGACAAAACTTACTAAAACCTAAGCAGCTGGGTACACCTGTGAGGTTTGTTTTTTTCTTAATTAAACAATTTGAAGTGGCAATATACACTGCTATTAGAGCCTACTTCTTCAGAATTCCAGCATAGACTGAAGACCAGCTGAGCCATCCAGCTTCATGGACTGACCAGCTACTGGATTCTTGGGTGTGGTGTTGGTAGACAGCCATTGTTGTACTAGCTGGCCTGTAAGCCAGTCGAATAAGTCTGCTTTCTATATATAGAAAGATTCATTCTGTAAGTTCTGTTCCTCTAGAGAACCCTAATACAACCTTAGACAGCCCTGGCCAACAACTCAAAAGAGGGTTTCTCATGTGTAGTATTGGGGTTTTTGTTAGGTGGTCTTTGGTTCTTGGAGGAAGAACTATCAACCCAGATAAGAAAAGTTCATTAAAGATAGATAGATAGATAGATAGATAGATAGATAGATAGATATTGATAGATTGACAATTATATGCATTATGGGTATTTTTAAGGTAAATAGTTAATAGTTTAATTCCTGTTGCTTTTTCAGGCATCTTTATTGTTGTTTTACCCACTTCCCTCCTTTTCCTGTATTTACCGCCCTCCCCCTTCCCTAAGGAGCCCCACTTTCTCCATTTCCCC